CTTAAGTATCAAAAGTAAATTTCGGACATACAATAACAGAAATTTACATACTATATACAGTATATATATATATACAGTATATATATATATACAGACATCTTCATTTTGTGCTATGTCCTGCTGGAGTGTGACATGATTTGTGTCGTGCAGCTGTGATGGATTGTGTACAAACCAATATGGTGTCAGAATGGTTTATTTTTATACTTCTCATCCAACCACAATTAAATTCACTCTATTCAGGAGGTGTAATTTATTTGGATTGTTTTTTTAACAATAAGTTTGAATGAAAACAAGCTAAAATGAAATAGAAGTATCGACTTTTTACTTCTCACCTTTGTTGAAAATGTAAAAAGTATGATGAAAAATAAATACTCAAGTAAAATACAGATAACCAAAATTTCTACTTAAGTACAATAACTACTTTACGACTCTGCGTGTCAGGGTTTGTCTGTGAATATGTGTACTTTTGAAAGTTTCTGTGCCAGTGAATTAATGTGAGCCGTTTCATCTACACAAGTCAAGCTCAAAATAGAGATGCAGCTGCCACACACACACATCCACAAACACACACAAATACACACACGCACGTGCAGCTGGGCATGTGGCTTGAGTGATTTGGGTCCAGCTTACTTTGCTGCATGTTATTTAACAATGGGACCCTTGTTAATTAATCCCAGCTGGATTAGCGTTAGCACTCTGTCTCATAAGGACACAGTGTTGGTTTGTTTAAGACAGCTTCTGAGTTTTACTCAGCAAGTGGTGAGATGAGAAAAATACAACCACAGTCGTAAAACACTGGCACCATGACAGATTAGATTCATTTTGAAATTCCTTTAAGAAAAAAAAGCATCAACAACAACAAAAACATTTTGCTCTGAATGATCCTCAGATGAACAGAATGTTTCTTCTGACTTTGAGTTTTGTTCAAAGCATAAAGTTTCTCACCATCAAGCTCTCATTCCAGCAGCAGCTGCATTTCCCCAGAGTGATGAAGACAACAGCTGGAATCAGCATCTGGAAAAACACAAAACCACATGGGTTCACCACAGTTTCTAGATATCAACACAATCCTTTTTGTTAGTTTTTTTATTTTTAGTTTTTTTTTTTTTATTTGCAGTGCCAATGGCATTACCTTCATTTCCAAATAAGTCACATTCAAACAATTTTGTTTTACTTATAGCAACAAAAACAATCAATTTGGTGCAAAAAAATATCTTTTCATCCCTACAATTTTCTAAGCTAAGAATAATTTACACAGGGAGACATGCAAACATCACCCAGAAAAACCTCCAGGCTGAACCCAGAGTATGAACTAGCCTGGCCTTTGCCTTCCTGCTCGGTTCTGCTCAATTGTTCCCTTCTCTGCTCCGTCTGGGATTTCTCCGGTAGAATTCCAACCAGGCCAATCGGCGAACAAAAGGAGGAGCTGTGATTTTCTGTGCCGTTTTAGTCCGCCTGTAAAAGCAATGGTAGCGGAGGAAGTGGCTTTATTTTCTTAAAGTCCTTCAGTCCGTGTTGACAAGGCTTTTAAATTAAATTAAATTGGTCTCGTAAAGCCTGCAGGAGTCATTTACAGCCATCTCCTTCAGCTCTGTACTTCTCTATTCTCAGTAGGGTTGTTTACAGCGCACTCAGTTTCCGGTTAGCTTCTTAGCTTAGCTTCCTTCACAGTGGAGCTGGCGCACTGCATACGTCACGGACAAACATTAGCAGTTGGGTAAATCAGATCTAATGGTTTTAAACTTCAACAGTGTCCACGCCTCAAGAGATAATTTCTCTATAGCCGAGAGTCCAGACCCTCTGTGTGAAGCAAAACAGAACACAGGGCTGGTTTTTACCAGGATAAGGTTTGAAGGTTTCTCAAATTGTAAACTGATCCAAACTATAAATCATTGTTCATGTTACACTTCACTGCTGAGCACATAAAAGCAAGATTTAATATGCACTGACACTCCCTGCACAAAAAAAAATCAAATCTGTCCTTAGATTTACTTATTTTTCTTCCTTTAGTCTCCCTTTTATCTCCTTTCCTGTGTTAATGTCTGTCCCAGAGACAATAAATCACATCCTAATAGAAGAAAGGAAGTTCCCAAGGTTTTTTACACAGTTGAAAAATATATTTATATATTTCGTCAGACAGACATCCTGGATGTCCCCGGGTTAAAAGAGAGCATGAAAACATGAAGGAAAGCGCCCAGAGAGAAAGGAAGAAAGAGGGTGAAATGAGGGAGGAAGCACGGAGGAGAGGATGGGAAGGAGCTGGAGCCAGATTGGTCTCAAAGGGATTCAGTTTGCTCTTTGACTCGTTGGTATTTTCTCATTTCCTCAAAGAAAGAAAACTAAAATGGGAAACTTTTTAAGGAATATAGACAGTCAAATTAAAGTTC